TTTTTCGTTTTTCAAAATTGCACTTATATGAAAATGTAGACGTGATTTTAAATTTAAATATATGATCTATTTTATGTATTTTAATAACAACAATAACCAACGAAGTGCCTCAGTGCGTAGCGCGCTGATTCCCAGTCGGGAGGCGCGGGTTCGATCTCCGAGCCGGCCATCCAGATCGGGGTTTTCGCGGTTTCCCTCCGTCGTACAGGCGAACGTTGGGATGGTTCAAAAAGGGCACGTGCCTGATGTGGCCAATGCTGACGCGGCTGCCATTATTGGTAATCTTACTCTACTACGTATCATTTTAAAAAGAGAAATTCGTGTCATTTCTGACATTTTCCTAAGCAGGAACACGCTTTTTAAAAAGTACCAATCTATTCAAAGAATGTCTAGTTAGGAGCAGTTCTAAAGCCCCGATTTCAACCAATGCACGGCAACGCTAAATGGGCTCACTGTTTGGACTCTTGTAACATGACTCGAGCCTGTGGCACAGTGAAGCCGGCATCACTTTTCCTACACGGAGAGAAAGGTTTAGTCCATTCCATTGATCATATAACATTGAACTATGCGGTACATTTCATTTTGGAAGATGAAAGTGCTTACTCGCGTTTACGAAACTGTTGATTAGCGAAACCTATTAACGCACATATATCCAAATTTATTAAACAGGCCGTAACCCATGGCGAACTGCATTTAGTGTTGCTAAACGAATCTTTGCGTCAACTAATGCATCCAATAATATTTACTTAACACACGGTGAAAATTACTACACGAATAGTTGGCGTTTCATAATCGCCTTTATTAGATGCAGAAACGTGAAAGTGATTTTCTTTTTACCCCTTTGGTCTGGTTGCAACTGGGGTTCCAAGACGAGCACCCATTCGAAGCGTCCAGTAGGTTCGTAATTTCTTAACCACGGTTGCCTGACAAATTCATGCTAATGAGGACGGCAACGGACGCTGGTTACAACTCATAATTATTTTCAATGAATAAAATACTAAACAGTGTTTATGCAGAGTACAATCGAATATATAAACAATATAATACGAGATAACAATATAATAATAATATAACATCGTGTATATAAACAATGAACAATGTTTATTTGTTTGTTGGTTGTTTGGTACATTCTTAATGCGCTGCCGTTCCGTTCATCTGATTGCGATAAAACTTTGTCCGGGAAGAATATACTTATTGTACGACGGGAATGTGCATATGCCTACGCACACCGACGCGCGTTGATGATTTTATGTAGAATCAAGGGCCCTGATTAGAGCGCATTTCGCCACGGTGCTCTTTACGCAACCCGCCGCACACTGAAGTGCGCATATTAAGACGTTTTTATTGCGTATTCTGCCCCTGCGATTCTGAAATATCTCCCGGGAAAGATAGATTTAGAGAGAGATAGGAAAACGGAGACACAGAGAGAGAAACGAACAGAAACAGCGAGTCAGAAAAAGAGCGAGAGAGGAGAGAGAGACATACAGAGAGAGAGAGAGAGAGAGAGAGAGAGAGAGAGAGAGAGATAGAGAGGCGGGAAGATTCGGAGAGAGGGACAGAATCAAACTTGCGAGAAAGTCTTTCGTCTATTGAAATTTTTGCAGAGCGTAGCGTAAAACATGATTAACAATCACGTGATCAGTAGCATGTGAAGTGTAATACTTTGCAATAGTGAAGTATTGCCGGGTCCACTAATACTTTATACAGCGCAGAATTCTCAACTTTCACGTGGACTGTATAACCATTGGAATTGGTCACATTTCGGAGTACGCGCGCTTCTTAAACAGTGTTTAGCTACTGTCACATGGGAAGTAAAAGTCAGTGAATGATTTTATCCATGAAAGAAATATAGACGTATTACCACTTTGTACTTTCACTTACAATTTTGAATTGACGGATCGGGAGAGGTGGCTCAGGCCATCAACTGATGTCACTGCAGTGCCTCTGACCGGGAGGTCCTACACCTAGGATTTTCGACTCTAGTTACATAGCTAGGTCGAATTCAGTCGCTGTCTGGAGGAGAATTCTAGCCACCGGCTGCTCTGATCGGTAGTTTTTCGTGGGTTCTCCAATCAAAACCAGGTGAATACCGGTGCTGTACCCTAACAAGCAGGCAAAGGTTCGCGCGAGATCTATCCTTCCTCTTCCTTGTCATATCCTCACTCCTTACTGACACACTTACACGTAGGGGTATTACACTACCACACAGGTCGGGGGCTTAGAGCTTTCCCCGGCTGGGGCGGTGCCCCGCTGATGGGAGACACCTGGTTAAGGGAAACACCGCTATCCGACGGTAGGTCGGCGCCGGATCTCGCCATCTAGCGGGGTAAGATCAGCGCATCTCCCGTGAGAAAAAATGCACTTCTCTTACGGGACTAATGACATTAGCAGTTGCGTTGTTGCACTCGGAATCACTAACAATCTTGAACTGTCCGATTTTCTAAACGAAACTTCAAAGTGTTTAGTGAATCTTATCACACGAATAATTGGATTTGGTAAATCCACGCTTACTAAGTGTGTTACATTGTACTACACTATTTCCTTGAGTGTGTGGAAGCCGCAACAGCGCACCGTCCGTCCCGGCGATGCGTCGGGGAACCCCGTTCTTCTCCTCTTACCATAGGGACTTCTACGTTGCGGACATAAAGTGGCTCTATAATATGATTTATTTACTTGTGCATTTGACGTACATCAGCTGTTGCGGTTTCATCCAATCGGGAGCTTATATGTCGCTACAGTGTCGTAAGTATGGGAACGTTCAAGCTTCCGATTGGATGAAACCATTAACAGCTGATTTACCCCAAGTGCACGGTTAAATAAATCATAGTATAGCTTTTTGCTATCAACCGGTGGTGTTTAGTTTTTTACTTAGTGATCATTCATTTAATTTTCATCTTTCTTTGTATCTGAAACCTGCAACTTTACCTTGCTCCTCTATCGCAAGTTTAAGTTTTTCTTAAGCGTGCAATTTGAAACATTTAAATGAGGTTACCTCATTATACATAAAAAGACTAAGAATCTTTTAAAAAATTAAAAAGAATAATAAAATCTGATTCTTAAATTATCTTTGAAACTTTCAAGACAACAGAAGATGTAGTAGCCAATATAAGGCTGTTCTGCAAGATCAAACGATGATAAATTTGTTTACATTTATTTGAGTAAAGTATTCATTGAAAAATATTCACTTTGACATTGGATTGTTTCTCTACACTCATGGAAGTAGGTTGTAATTCCCAGGCCTGGGACAGCTAACCCCACTTATGGGGCACAGGCATTCAAGAATAATAACTATCACAAGGCAGTCATATAAATGTAGTTTCCATTGATATGCACAAACTTGTCAAAACTAATCCGGATTTCCTAAAAAAATAACAACTAGTGCGAACGCGCCCGATGTCCCCCTAGTTTTACGATCGAGTAAAAGTGTCCATTAGGCATCTGATGGTTCAGTTAGTCGCCTACATTCACCTCCCAATTCATAAGAATGATTGTAAACGTCAAGAGACTTACCCTTCCGAAAGCTACATGGATATTGTCCAGCCATGGTGTAGGTACCGTTGTGATGAAGAATTGACACCCGTTGGTATTTTTTCCTGCAAACATACAAATATAATTAACACTTGTCTGTATACACAATACACATGAGAAATTACACTCACATAAAACGCGCAAATTTGTTCAGTCGTCTTGTTAAATTCTGTAGGCGTTATTAGGACTGTGCGTAGAAATTTAATTGAATAACATTTATATGACAATTATGGTAACTTATAATGCAGTTTTTCAAGATGATTCACACTTATACTTAATAAAGAAACCAGAAGTAGCCACTGCATCAGCAGTGGTCACATCAAGCACATATGAACAAATTAGACTTGAGAGCTTCCTATTTTAAACTTACACGTACCGAACTTGGTGCTTAAGCCTTCTCCTGGCGAGGATTAAAACGAATATAATTTATTTATATTCGATATGTTTTTTATTTAAATAATAAGCTGAAAACCACATTTAATACTTGCATTGAAATAATGTTACATGAACCGGTACTTTTTAGAATTCAAACATGTTCAAAGGGTCGAATATCGATTGGTTATTCAGTCGAGTGTCCGAGTTCTAGTAACATTTTGCTAATTTCGTGTATCCACTACTGAAACAAAACTGGGATATGGAAATAAATGACACAAAAAATTGTTCAATTTTAGGTAAGGGATATTTTCAGAAAGAGATATGCTAGTAACCACAGTTTCAATTAAAAAAGTTGCAACAGTAGCATAGTAGAATTTTGTAAAACTACGTATAAAAATGATCATGGTGTTACAGCATCCAAATATACCGCCTCTTTCCTGTTCATTTCTAAGCTCTCCTACTAGAGTGCGACGAGCTTAGTTCATATCCCGACTCCTGGTTGCACTGTTTGTTTCTTCACGGTCTGTTGAAACAGCCGATCAGCTGACCTGAAGACCACACATGTACGAGCACTGGCTCTAAGCAAGACGCTCGTTTATTCCATGGAAGCTAGATCATTGCTTCTCCTATCATATCTTACATTTAAATGCCACTTGTCTGGTAATTTACAACCATTTACATTTATTGCAAGTAAAAACATTTGAAATCAGGCACGTCCGAACTTATTTTCCCAAACGGAGCACGTAATTCTTATTGACACCAATAGATAGGGCAGAGTTCGCCTGTAGAGCTCTTTGGAAGCACTGGGCTGACTGCATCCAGCGTCTCCTAGTGAAGGCTATGGTCAGCGGATGTGCTGGCGCATGTAGTGGGCGAGCGCAGGCTCATTCAGACGAAGTCGCCTTCGGAAGCAGTCGGCCAGTTGCATACAGCGTGACTGTGTGCCCGTGGGGTGGGCTCCGCATGTGATTATCGGTTCAGTGGAATTCATCTATTTTTTCTTCGAGTTCTTATTTTCTTGTACTGCAAATCTGTAAAGGCTTCGTTGAAACTTGAAAGAAGATAATGTTTCCACCTCTAATTCCAGATTTAACAATATCATGTAACGGTATATACTGCGACTGGAAACAACTTTACAACTGCAAATCGTGATGAGTGCTCTTAATTTTGTCGGTGTTGCAAGTCACAATGAAGTGTGTTGTCATGTAGACGTAATTTTGATGCAAGGTTGCAGCTCGGACAATTATGTGAAAAGGCAAGAAATAGTTTCAAACGTTGGGAAAACTCTATTACTGAAAAATTTAATCTTCAAAATTAAAACTTGTGAGCGGCATTTCAATCCACAAATTTATGAAAATGTTGAATGGATTACTGGGTGTGAAAGTAAATCCAAATTATTTTGTTGGCGTTGTTTATAATTTTCAAAGAAAAAACTGTATGGAATAGTACAGGATTTTCTGATTTAAATAATTTACACAAGGGAGTAAAAAAACATTCAAGTTGTAAAAATCATTTGTGAAGCATTTTGAAGTTAAAAACTTTTAATTCAGCACAAAGGATTGATCATGATCCTATGGCCAAATAAAAATATCACACCAGAAACAACGAAACTGTGAGAAAAAACTTGAAATATTAAAGAGACTCATTGATGTTGTGTGCTTTTTAGGATTCCACGCACTTAGTTTTCTAGGTTATGATGAGTAATTTGACTCCGCAAATAAAGGGAACTTTAGAGATTTGGTACACTTCATAGCAAAATGTGATCCACTTTGGGCGCAGCATCTCGAGAATTCTTCTGTATTTGTTGATACCCGAAAGTCGATTGATAGCAAAACGTATGTCCATCTCTGAAAAACGGTAGCGTCTAATCTGTTCAGCCGATTTTCTCCAAAATTGACATTTTTGAATCGTTTTGGCTCATGTCGTCCCCCCCGTTTTTGATAATACGTACCACGGAGAGAAAGGACTATAAAATGCAATAGAACGTGAAATAATATATCATTGTGTAGATTATGGAATAGAATACATAACTTGTTTCTCTCACAGGGTCACAAAAATTCTAGTTGTAAGGCCCTAGATGGCCTCGTTTCCAAGTTATGTAAGACGGTAAAATGTGTTGCGGTGTAATGTGTTTTGTAGATTTTGTTTGCACCAAATGTGCCAAATATGACATAATCTGCGAACTTCTATAAGTTTGCCTTAATTTGTTAGATGCATTTCTAGGGTGTACCGAGCAAGAATACACTTACGGGGTTTGTGTCAAAGGTTTCTTATAAAAGGAATAATCCGTCATCTTTTCTTTCTGCATTTTACTCGTACTAAATAGAGGGAATGTTTATGGTCACATTTACATTCACGTTCACTGATGTAAAATGTTCCACTGAATAATGTGGCTCCATGCTTTTGCGTATACGTTTGTTTGATTGTGAATGTACTCTAAAGGCTTGTGTAACGACCGCCACGACAGTGTCATCTAAGTTCCCTTCATCCAATGCAGACTAAACGCAATCGGTTCACGAGCTACGATTATCCAACTGAAGGTACAATGGCCGATGTGAGTTTACGATCTACATCGGGGCGAAGGATGGAGAGACTAAAAGGTGCTACGGGGCTGCACGTGAAATATGTCTTAGCCGGGGAGGGGGGAGACAATGTAAGCACCTACAGGTGCAAAAGCCATAAAACAGGAATCCATACGCATCACTGGAGCAGCGGACAACAGTAGTGCTCAAAAAACCGCATCACTTTTCTCACAGTTGTGATCTGCAATATAATCCTAAAAATACACCACTTGATTGGCAAAAATCGAGCGAGTTATGAAGGTAATGGACTCAGAAACATCATATAATCCACATAAAATATACGATTAGCAATTCCTACTAATAATTGTTTCAAATGTTTGGGAGCAGGTTGGATTATAAAATACAGAAATGCCAGGTGAAGGGGTGATGCGGTTCCTTAGCACTGCTGTGCAAGTCGTGCGCGCACGTACCTGCGTTGGCCATGCTGATCATGCCGGGGCCCGTGTGCTTCACCTGGAAGGTCTCGTCGTCGAAGCTCTCGCCGTAGAGGCTGGTGGAGCCGGTGCCGTCCTGCCGCATCACGTCTCCCCCTGTGACGCATCCAGCAGCGGCCTCTCAGAGAGCGCCCTTTGAATCACCTCTCACTCAAAAGCAACCGCCGACTCCCTAATCGAATCCTGGGACAATAGCTTCCTGCCTATAAACATCCCCATCCCTGGCCAGGTAATCCTAAATTATCTAAGTACCCCATCCCTACCTTCTCAATAACAAAAGACATGGACATTAAAATACAACTTTGCGACGATAGATAATGGGAGAGCTAACGGGCCCGGTGGGTATCTGCTCTCCCAACTATAAAACCCACCCAATTTACAAAAACTTAAGCCAGTACATTGATTTCCAAATTTCTTTTGGCATCATCATAGTTAAAAGTGTCTCCTCCCAACCTTAGGTTGGGACCAAACCAAAATTAGGTTGTAATTTTTAAAGCAACGCGGTGTTCATCTCGCACGTGCTCTCTGTGAGATATGCATGAACTTGAATTTTTTGGTTTCATCACTCTAAAATGATAATTTTTTGAATTTGTGTCTCGAGTTATCATTTTACCACGACGTGAGCTTCAAAACGTCAAAATATGAAGCAACGTGCCAGAGAAAAAAAGTTTTAATAATAAGTCCCGTGAGGAGGCATTTAAATAGCTTTTACGATCATGTAAAAACGAGAGATTTTATGTACCGCTTCACGTACGTGATATTAGTATTTTCTGAAGACGTCTTAAAATTTAATGTCGCAGTTCGAAAAGGCTTTCTCGAACGAAACTGGTTTTGATGACCATCAAGAGAAGAAACGAAACAAATAAGGATTCAAAATGAAAGCATTTTTCACGATTGTAAAGAAAAAAGAGTTCGTATCCGCGAGAAAAATTATTTCCATGGAATATTTTTCACGAACTCCGTCTTTTTTTAACTATGGGACTTGGCAAAAACAACGTTAACCTGGATCGTACAAAAACAATCATTTCACGTTTTCAATATAAAAACCAGTGGTGTTACAGAATGGCAGACTTTTCAGACACAGACTTACAGTTTTCTAATTTGGTTGGTGTGGATTGGCTGCACGGTCTTGCCCGTACATTTTTTTTGACATTGTCTCAATATCTCGGTTTTCTAATAGTGGAACCGACATATTACTTCAAGAATATTAAAGAGTAGTAAAACCTAGTCATAAATAGTAATTTTAATTGAAACATTTGAAGCCATTTTTAAGAAAATGGCGTTTAAATGTTACTGTAAATGCGAAATTCGAAGCTCTTTATGTACAAAAAAATTTTAGATTTCGAAAAATTTGTCTGGAAGTCATTTGAGGTACTTTAACTCGCAAAAGCAGTGTGGTTTACAAATCGCTTGAAATGTGCCTCTTAACTGCGCGAGAAATATTTTAAAAAATACATTTGTGTAATTTTTAAAAAACAACAAAAGAATACAGGAATATGAACGTTATGCCATTTTAACCATGCATTTAAAACTACCCATTGAAAAAAAAACGAAAAAAAAAGAGTCATTTGTGAGAAAATGGCATTCAAGCATTTCGAGAAATGAGGAATTTTGGACTCATTTTTAAAGAAAACTGTTGACTTTACTATAAAATTTATCTGAAATTATTTAAAACACACGTTCTCATTAATTCATTAATCTGAACAAATTTACACTAATGAAAATATTAACGACGTGAGAGACAAGACAATTTCATTATTCTAATTTTTAAAAAACAAAACATTAGACAAATATGGCGTTAATGTAATTTTATAGAGTGCAGTTAGCACTCTATAAAAGTTTAAGAAAAATTTTAGAGCCATTTTGGAGATAATATTGTTTTTGAAATTTTTTAAAATTGCAAATACAGCACGAGAACATCTGAAATTTTCAAAAAAAAATGTATGTGATCTAAATGAGAGAACGCGAGAACATCTGAAATTTTCAAAAAAAATGTATGTGATCTAAATGAAAGAACGAATTATGGACAACAAATTGCATTCGAAGGGAAAATCTCTATCTTCAATTTTTGTGTTGTAGGAAGACGCCGAAAAATCAATATTCTGAATTTTCGAAAACTCAGAGTTAACCGTGAATTTCGAACCTAAGCCACCTTTATTTTTCTATAATTTTACAAGAAATTTAAATAAAATATTTGGAGCCGGTTTTGTAAAAATTTTGAAAGTATCCGGGGGGTTTCATGTAAAGAATCCACAAATTTCGAAGAAAGTTTTTGAAAGTCGCAGCACCTCGAGTCGAACCAGATCGACCTGGGAATATCCATTTTGGAAAAAAAAAATCCTACGTATGGTTAGGCGGTGGACATGTTCACAGACAAACGGACGGACGTTTTAGAAAAAACAACACTTTTTCGGTATAGGGGGCCCCAAAATTTATATTTTCGTTGACATCTCGAAATCGATTTTTCGCAGCTATACATAACTTTGTCTATAGTACATCCCCTATACTATTTCCCCTTTCGTACACATATGAGGAAGTACTGACTATTTGGCCCCACGTCACCGCGAGCTCTTCGAGAGCGCGGCGTCGCGGCACGTGCCGCGTGAGGCCGTGCGTTGGGACCGACCCTGGCGCTGCTGATTGGATAATGGAGCGCGCGGTTGCGCTAGCGTCCGCTCCGTCGCGGCCTTCGTGGGCCGCTCATTGCCTGATCTGGGTCGGGGAGGAACGACCAGGCGCGAGCGCGTAAATCTCGTCTTCGGACAGCGTGGAAAGGCGGCAGCATGGCCAAGAAGTGGCGTCGCACGGTTTAAATACCGGATGAAGGATAGCAGGCGTGCAGGAAGATACATCTGCCGAAGTAAAAGGACTTCGAGGTCGACGACTTTCGAAAAATAACGCAACTATGTGTAAAGCTTGGAAACTATTGGATATATGAATCGTAGCAGTATTGTACAGAACTCTGGCGAAAATTAGTTTTCCAAGGAAACGACGATGATGATTCTTAATTACATCAGTGGTGACTTAACTTGGAAAATTCACAGTTGATACTTAAAAATCAGAGAGTTTCTATTATAATATTAGAAATAATACTTTATTTGTTCTCTCCGAATAGTTTAGCTAATGCTTATTTTCAAAGACCTCTTGCTTTCGGCAGTTGAAAGTCTCCAGTAGTTTACGACATTCAAGATACAATAATTTCATGATATGATGCCAAAAATTCATTTATACAAACCGCCAGTATAATATATAAATGCCTTAGAAATTTTATTCACTGTCAAGAAGAAGAATACAGATATTCACGTTCTCCAAATCACATTTTAAGAAAAGTAGGACACAAGTATTTTGCAATTTATTGTTTCATTTGTCAAAATTGTGGAAGCGAGTTATGAAACAAGATAATTCTTTGTAAGTAGTGTTAATTCTTAAGAAACTATAATAATTTAGCAAAAGATGATTCTAAGCATAATAGTAATGATGACAAATCTTGACCCACACACTATTTACAGTGTACCCACAGGTACAGTTTACACTATTTAATGGTTTGCGAAACGCTCTGTGCTATTTCCAAGTGCTGTTTCTCCTGATCAAGTGTTTATTTGCGCTCTCACTGACGAGAACACTGTTTTTATTATTCTGCTACATTTTATTGTGTCGGTGAATAAACGAGGGTCAGCGAGAGATGAGAGGAAAGCTGACAAATGACAGTGTTAGCCACCGCAGTATATCGGATTTAAGTTCGCTACACACTGGGATTGTATTCGAATGGATTATCTTGGTAAATCGATGAAGATCGAAGTGAAACGAACAATAACATGGTAATACATGTATCAATCTTTGATTACAAATTCAGTTGCCGAATATCGAACACATCGGGAAGTGCGGGTGCAGGTTCCTCGCACACTGCTTTGTCTCACGCGCGTTGTCTGGATAAATTATTGAATTTCTGCGGCAAAACGGCAGTATTTCGCCAGAAAACTGTATTTAGAGGCCCTGATGCCGAAAAAGGGGATAAATGTTGATTCTATATAGTAAATTTCTTTTTCTAACGCTTGCTGTTCTCAGAATTCACGTTTTGAGGAACTTTGTAATGAATAATGGTAGGCGGCAAAACGTGTTTGTCTGTGGAACGTGTCAGCATGCACGCTAGAGCTTAGATTTTCGAGATTTTCCAGCTCAGATCAGATGGTTTTCTCAAAATTGGTATTACTTTATCGACTTGGTCGAGCTCCAGGCATTGCGACTTTGAAACGAATATTTTTATTTGGGAGATACTTTTCATAAAGTCTATACATTTTCAAAATGCCTCCGTTTTTAAAATTATTTATCCCCCCCAAAAAATTGAAGAAAACACTCAGATTGCATTTTCACAGAACTCTCTGAAATTTCAAAATTTAAAAACGTACAAAATTTTTTCGTCAAAACGTTTAAAATACGTTTACAAAAATGGCGCAAGTATTATATCCAGTGAACTTCATTTTTAAAATTTGCAAAAATGCAATTCGGATATTTTTTACGAAATAAACTATTTTCTTCAAAATTAGATTGTAAGATCATAAAACAAGGTAATTCACTTTTAAAAAATAAGAATAGTTCTGCGTAATGTTTACGAATTTTTGAAATAGTAAATTCTAATTCCCTATTATTTTGCTGAAGGTTGCAATGCGACAATGGCAACGTCGCTACACGGCAGTTTGAAATTCTTAGATTAACTTCTTATTTTTGGGCGATAATGTTTTTCACTGCATGAAACGCAGTTTTGATCTGTCGAATTTGTGTTGAAGTAATAGTTTTAAAAGAATTAGTTTTCTTGCCTTACGCGCTGAGATTGATAATGAATTAATTATGTTAGCAATTAGTGAGAAACATTAATACTGGTGGGAATTGCGGAATTATAATATTACGTAAACGTTACTAACGCGAGAATCAACGTACTGTTGTAGCACCACTAATTTACTTCGTGGCTTTGTGAAAAAAATTAATTTATAGATACAAAATAGTTATTAGCCAAACTCTGTCAATTTTAAGTAAAAGTTTGTGTCAATTTTTCATGGAACAATTCAGTAAACCAGTCCAAACTCACTCAGTATCTGATGATACAGTACTCACCAAATATCTTTTAAAACATTCCGGTGAATTAAGAAAAACACAGACCACCGAGCGAAGTGGGTCAGTGGGTAGCGTGCTGGATTCTCAATCGGGAGGTCCAGTTCGATCCTCGAGCCGGCCATCCTGACCGGGGTTTTCGTGATTTCCCTCGGTCATAGTCTATACTGAGATGGTTCCAAAAGCCCACGAACACCTCCCACTACCCAACCTAACACCTCCTAAAATCATCCTAGTCCCTTCACTCCTCATCATCACCCTATAATAATAATAATAATAATAATAATAATAATAATAATAATAATAATAATAATAATAATAAACGCAGGGCAAGAAGTAGTTACTTTATGTCCACATCCCTTCATTACTTCATCGAAAGATTACCCCCTCCTAAAACAATCGGCAATCACATGACGCTGCCGAAAGAGAAGGTTCGTGCGTTGGTGCTGACCTTGGATCATGAACTTGCGGATGACTCTGTGGAAGATGGCGCCCTTGTAGGAGCGGCCGTCGACGCCGCCGGTGGCCAGCGCCACGAAATTGCGCACCGTCTTGGGGGCGACGTCCCCGAAGAGGCCCAGCGTGATGCGGCCCGGCGGCTCGTCGCCGATGCTCACGTCCAGGAACACCTGCTGCGTCACCAGGTACTCCGCGCCCTGCACAAGGAACACGAATACACCCGTGCACGAGGCGGGACTCGACCCTGCGAACCTTCCGTTCCGACATCGCTACGGCGAACGAAATGTCCAAACATACAATACATTGAATTGTCGTTGAGTTTCCGTTCGATAGAGGAGAGTACCCTAACCCGGGTCTCCAATTTGTTTTCGAATATTTTTTATGTCCAATTTTCTGCACAAATAAATCAAAATATTTGCAATGTTGCCTTACTTAGTTCTAAAAATGTTATATTCTACTTAAAATGATTGGCCAAGAAGTTTTATAATACCAAAAGAATTTTGGAAAATACGATGCCGGAAAAGGTTGGCCATTTTAAATATTTGGGCTACAACACAACGTTCCATACAGAAATGGATATAGATGAAAAAAAAATCATAAATACCAGAATATATGCGGAAATATTCGGCGAACTCTTATAGATAAAACACGTACAGATACTCTAATGAGGATATATAAAGTAATGTCTGTCTCGTCTCTGTCAGGGAGAAAAATAAACAGACGTTACAGTCTGCGAAAATGAAATTCTTGAGAACTGTAAAAAAATGTTTCGGACTAGATAAACCCAGAAATGTGCAAATTCGAAAAGAATTAAACGTTTAAGCAATCAATAACAAGGTTCAATGTTACAGGCTGGAATGGTTACATGTGGAAAGAATGGAAGAGACTCGCATTCCAAAGCAGGTGTTTAAGTCAGAAGAGATCCAAGTAGACCCCTAAAAAGATGGAATTCTTAGAAGCCGGAACAGGTCATAGACCTATCCTTGAAGTGGAGAAGAAGAAGAAGAAGAAGAAGAAGAAGAAGAAGAAGACGAAAAAGAACGAAATGGACGTTTGGGGGGGGTGTCTGGTTAGGCACCAGTGTTTATATTCCAAATGCTAATAATATTTTACAAGGGAAGAAAAATAAATTACGTTACCTCACATCAATAGCTTGTAACATCCCCTTCAAAATAATGTAATGGTTAGAAGACTTATTGATGAAGTAGCGACACCAGGCAACTGAGAATCAGCACTTGAAAAAACATTGCTTTTCACTGTTCGCACTAATGGCCGACTGCTGGCAACAACTGAAGATGACACTACCAAGACACTACTTCCAAAGAACTACCTACTATTTTAGTACGTTTCTAATCTGCAACAGCACTCCACAGAGCTGTAATTCAAGGTGCTTGCATTAGGAATCGAGCCCGGGTTTGGGTACTTTCTTCTATTATTATGAAATTGACAGATATCTCTAGTATTGCTACATGAGACAAAACGTGACCATTTAGAGAAGAATTGGAAGGACAAAGAATGAAGAGCAACACCACCTAGGAAGTATTGGGCAGGTACATCGATAGACGTTTTTGAACGCAATTTTACATTGCTTGCCATCGAAAAGTTTAACCTCCGGTTATCCATGGTCCTCGTGGTACTGATGTTAATATAATTTCTTTTTCATATTGATTGGGGGCGGTTGTTGAGGAACATGATAGTTGCACAGTTGTTGAATATTAAAGGTATTCGACTATTTTATCTGGACCAAAAGCGGTCTAACTGTAAGCGACGGACACACGGAGGGACGGACGCACGGTACTCGATGACTCAATAAGGATTACTTGTTGTTTTTATTTTGCTTGTCGTGCAACTAAAATATGTAGTTGACCTTGGACTTTATTTAGAAATTGTAACTTACGTATGCCTAGTTTATTAAATAAACGAATGATTAATGCCCACATTTTATGTATCAATTATTATTCATTTTAATATAATTAATAACAACATTATTAAGGTGCCACAGAATTTGATGATGTGTAGGGAGGATGAAGACGCAATCTACCTGTGAGGTCCAAGTTTTAGACATTTTTAAAGAATTGAAAGACCATATCTTCCACAAGCCTAGATTTCATGTATCCCCCTAGTGTTGATTTCTGCAGGATTCAATATCATTCAACAGTAGTGAGTATGGCAACTTCTATTTATTACATTCGTAACCCCTAACTGATTGGTACATGCAGTACACCGTACCAGTACAGAGCTCGTTTTTGCGTCCGTAAACGGCTGGGTAATCTGACAGATCCATTGTGTGGATGCGTAGTGACGTTGCACTTTGATTTGCGGGCACTCCCGAGTTAAAGAATAAATGCGATGGCGGGCGGTGGGGCGTGTTTACCTATGAGCAGAATGGGCAGATGCTTAGGACCTCCATCCAATGATGTGCCCGTGAATTAATTAACTTTTCGAAAAAAGGCATAAAATATATTTGTAACTGCGAAATAATTGTTAGTGAAGTAGTTTGCTGTTCTAAAAAGTTTATTTAAAAAAATAATAAATTTTAATGTATTTGTGGATAAGATATTAAAATGTAGTATTTATGTAAGGAATTACATTATCAATCTGATTAGCAATTTCTTAATTTTCGTTTGTATTTGTACAAATTCTATGCTTGCCACGAGCGCCTGAATATTCCTCTGGACAGACCTGAGAAAAGAATTCCTGTCAATCGTTGAACCTGAACGTATGATTTTCCATTTAAGCTCGTGAATACTTGTTTACAAACTTTACAGTGAACGTATTCTTTCAATGCAAAATAACGAAAATCACTGGTTCTTCGCTTAATATTAACTTCATCTCTCTCTCTCTCTCTCTCTCTCTCTCTCTCTCTCTCTCTCTCTCTCTTCGATTCTTTGCGGGCACACACTCCATCAGTAACAAAACAAGTAAGTTACATCAGCCCCGTTCCCCTGGCAAATATCAAATATAAACCATCCACTGCGAGCCACCCGAATCACCAGCATGTCGTTCCCTGCCTTCTGAACTAATGTCCATTTAAAATAATAATAAAAAAATTAAAAAACGAAAATGACCATCTTGGGGCTAGAAGCGTTTTGCAGCCAGCCGTTCGCTTGAGTGGGAGAGAAACGCCGGCGCCGGCGGGCGAGCAACTCACGTGCGCGGCGCGCAGCGCGCAGCAGGCCAGCAGCGCCAGCAGCCCCCTGCGAGCGGCCATGGCGTAGTGGCAGCGGCGGCGGCGGCGGCGGGCGGCGCAGCGCGGGCCCCTAATCGCATCAGCTCCCTCCCCCCCCACACACACACACACCGACCCGTGCGCGAAGCCACATCGACACGACATACACGCCGCGCCATGTAAATGGTGCTGGGCTGGCGTCCAGCTGGACGGTACCTCCTCAATGTCTAAATTAATTACGAATTGTAAATGCGTATAACAACCTTAACTCCACAATCATTATAATATACAGTGAAATAATTTTAATGCCAGTACATATTCGGGTGTACATAATAATATAATTAAGAAACGGGTTCTCAACGGAATACGTTAAATTCAGAAAGGTGAAAAGTAGTGTCGAGATATGTCATTTACAAGGAAATAAGTGGAATAGAGATGAAGGACAAACATGATTTTCATTCATCACATAACTTCAGCAAAATGGTTTTGTTAATCCACTTATAAACTTCTAATCATGTTATGAATTTTCAATTCACGCCACTCTGTCTCCCTGAACGATTCTGCATCCTCTAGGTGTGTTCCGGCTTCCAGAATAAATTGGAAAGAGTGTATGGCATTTATATTCTTTAGATGGTCTTTCGTTTTAACACAACTGGATATTCATAAGCGCACGAGAATCGAATTAATTCCGTACTATTTTTTAAATTGGTAAAATAGTACCTGAAATGCTCATGCCTTGTCGGACTGTGACGGGAAATCTAAGCGGCAAATTAATGTCTGATTCCGCTCAACTCATATCGCATATTAAAAAGACATCAGTCGCGATTAAATTATGAGAAGAAGGTGCCCGGAATTATGTAGAATGTTATGTTTATATTTAAATGTGAATGTTTATTCTGTTCTCAGCCTTGCTTCCTATTAAAAAATTGTCACATACTCGTAGGGGGATATTTCGGGACTTTCACTGCGTCTCAAAGGCTATTTCTGATGAACTACTCAGATCATAGCAAAGCGGTAGTTCGACTAAGTCACGAATCATCATGCCATCATCTCCCTTGAATCCATCATAACAATCTGAATCCTATTGACATCAACATCCCTATAATTCATAAGTTTGCAGTGCATTTATCAAACCCAGCTACACACCTTTCATCTTGCTCCATGATTCCAACCCAACCCCTTCCCAAGTTGTTTTTTATTTTTATTTCATTTATTTATGGTCGCTTTATATCAGCTCAGATCATTGCGGATCCCATTATGTTTACATTACAAACAATTTCAATGGCACAAACTATTGTATCATACATATTATATCATAATTATATTACATTAATCAATTTGCTTATTTCTATGTTGTTGTTTTTTTTTGTTTTTTGTTACTACCTCCTTCTGATTTGAACATTGTGTATAAGTTGCCTTCAATTTTCAATGATTTCCTAACATTATCGAGTCCTTTGCATTCGAGGGTAATATGAGGAGTAGATACTGTAGCGCCACATTTAGGACAGGGTTCAGGGTTGAATGTTTTGAACAGATGACATTCAGGTTAAAACGACCGATCCGTAATCTTGTGTAGAACGATTTTCTTACGAAAGGGCTAAAGTGACAGTTCGCGAAACAAGTGAACATCACGTGTACTTCAGAGAAGTATCCCTCCGCCGCGTCAGTTGTTTAGTTACGCCCCTTCGTAGTGTTTGTTTACGGTTCACGCGAGACATCACTAAAGAGATATCTGAGTTTCGCTTAGTTATATGCACGTACGTGAGTCCGGGAAATATCGAAATTTATTCACAAATGTGGGAAAATGTCTTAACGTGATCTCACATTCAATAAAAGAAAACTGCCAGGAATGTAAATAGAAAGAAAATTGATTTTTCAGGGGACGTTCAGATACTTTTCTGGACGTTTCACAGCAAATGTCTCATCCACTTGTGTAGTGAAGAGGGTGCTTTATAATTATAACACCCCGACTATCAAAACTTGGTACTATGCTCTCATAACGAAACTACGTCGTCATCTACGAAATGAAACTTTTTTCGGCGCTCTATTAAATTTGCTTAGGCTGCCTAGTTCTGTTGCATGAATTGTCAGAAATGTTCAAAGTTAAGGTCCAGATTGGAGCTAATATCCTTTTTTAAAACAATGGTTGGCGAAGATCCGAATGTTTCTGTATGTCCAGTTAATATAATTTTTTATTTTAATTTTTACATCTCCCAGTACCCTTTGAAGAGTTTGTGATACTCCAGAGTGTCAGTGAACTCATGACAGGAATTGCCCTTTGCGTGGTAGTAGCAATGAGTAAAACAACCTCAATCGTAATTTTTTTCTTAATTTTTTTCCCATGAATAGAAAAACAGCGCCTAAAAGAATTTTTCAGAAATAATTTTTGGTTAACTCTCTGAAATTTCGAAAATTGCAAAAGTTAGAAATAATGCCAAAAAGTATGTAATGTATTTTAGCATCACTAGTTTATCTTTAGAATAATTTGGTTGTATAATAGTTCCAATAGCAGTCTTTTGCATTTCTTAAAATGTAAAACTTTGAGTTTTCAAAACTACACACTCGCATAATGTTTTTCTCGTTCCTAAAGGGAGCCTTACAATCTGGACTCGTTTTCTATTTTTTCTGGCGATTTTGGATGTTGGCACATTTTGAAACAAAGACTGGTCAAAGTTTTTTCAAATATCTTAAAATTAGCTCTCAATTTGAAGTAATGCGTTGTTGTTGTTTTTGTTTTCAGACGTTCTGGAGTTTTTGGGTGTATTAGCTCTTATGAACGCATATTACCAGCTTTACTTTGTACAATCCTGAATTTTGAAATATGAAAGCCAGAATTCGTTTTTGTTGTGTCTTAAAATAGCCTTCAATTTTAGGTAAGCAGCCGATTTTTTCTGACGTTTTCAATGACAAAATAATATAAGTTATAACTCTTCATTTTTAAAAATTGCAACTGCATGTCTTCAATCTTTTTTAAAGCGTCAGGCAGATTGAGATTAGATGTGTATTAATTCTGAGGGCCTTAATTCGAATCCTAGGGCAAAGAAAAAAATAGGCTGGTTGAAAACAATTTTGCAAATTCATGTAATATAATATTGCGTGGATTTTACAAATAATGTGAGAAAATATGCGCTGTTGTAACCATATTATAATATTTCCTCACCTTCCTTGACTTTTATGGCTACTCTGTTATTTCATTTGTAAATTCCCAGAACACTCTCTCCTTGTTTATTGTGATATTAAGATTGCCTGTGTTTTGGGTTATTTTTTCACGGCTTCGTATTGTTCCCTTTTCTCAAATATCCATTGATAAACCCGACTTTCGTATTGCTGATCAATTCATTCAATGTAGCAGTTAGTGAAATCTGTTCGTTCAGTTCATTGCAATTATCTTAATTGACTTTATGCAAGACATTTATCGACAATTAGTAACTTCAAATGGTCTTTCAAAGACATTGATTCTTTAAAAATTGTGTATTATAACAAAGCATTTGTGTAGTTGAATGCCTGCGCCTGATAAACAGTTCAACGTCACACATCCACACTGGAGAGTACGGCTGGTTGCATACGGACTCTCAGGCCAGGCGCATTAATTATGAAAACTCTTGCATATTGTTTTCTTTCTCGCTTACTACGTATTTACGTAGATAAGTGAAGATATTGTAATGCTGCAGCGGAAAAAGCTATTTTTTGTCAGGAAAATATTTTGGGGGCCCTCTAAAATCTGTGGATATTAGGATAAATCTTGTTCCTAATTCTAGTATGTAGTAAATTAGTAATTCCTTTAACACGTGTAGTCAGTCCATGTTTTTTTGGTCCTTGATACTGAAAAATTGGTTTACGTCAAAACGGCAGTCTGATCACCCGTACAACTGTTTGACTGTGGACAACACTAGCTCCTAAACCTTTCAGACGATTTTCTCCAAACTTCACCTTCCCCGAATCGATGTGGCCGAACTCAAAGACTTGCAAATTTAAAACGCATATTTTGATTTTTGGAGTTATTTACATGAAGCCTTCACACGATTTTCAAAATTTTCTCGAAAATGGCTCAATTGTTTGTTATTTTCTTCCTTGGATAGACCAAATGACAATTAAATAATAGAGCAGCTCTTATTTTCGTTAAACACTAAATTTTCGAACATTGTTAAAGTTATAAATACTGCGAGAAAGAATTTGCTGTTTTACTTCCACTTATTTCAGGTTGTACTTTTACTGCAAATAAATAGCTCTTACATTGATTTTTTTAAATTCTAAAAGTGATGTACTTTGCTCATTGCACATGGTTGTAATGCCAGTCCTGCATTTCTATGTATATTTTTATATTCAAAGCTTATTAATTTATGAAAATAAGGGCGAGATGATTTACAGTCCTACAACCCCTGAGCATTGCTAGCTGAGGTTAACTTGGTGTTTGCAACATAGCAATGCTATTTTATGACTACATTGTTGTATTTTTTTTTATTTGACTACCGGCTCGACTATTAATTAAAGGGAAATTTCTGTACAGATAAATACAGTAGGCCCTACTAAGAAATGAACATCTTGCACACTGAAAAAACTGTGCTTTCGCTGCAAGCATAGCATGGACAACTGTATGCGTTTGTATTCCGTGTGTCTGAGAGATATGTGGAAAACAAACAGTTTAATATAACCTTCTGGTAATGGTTAGTAAAATATTTTGAAATCTGTTTTTGAAAATAAAAAGTTTCTGTTCTGTTTTTTAAACCGTTATCCTATCTTTTTATTAAAAAACATATCATGTAGTCCGACTATAACTTGCATATGACCACCATCATTTTACAACTTAATACATTTAATTTTAAAAAATGGAAGGAGAACCCAATGTAAATAAATTTAGACTAAGTCCCTCCTCAAAACCTGAGCTCAGCAAAGTTGTAAGAAATTAGGAAGAACTTTAAAAAACTGAAACCTTTTCATGTGGTTGTGATTCCAGCAATGTAAATTACTATAAACAACAGTTTTGGTCGTGCTATTGAATTGGCTATAATGATTACAGTGTGACTGTGATGATTTGCTTGCCAATTCAATTTGTTACCAATGACATTTCATAATATAAAGATGCATTCTGATTATTGTTTTAAAAATGACTAATAATACTAAATACTTATTTTTTAGACATTGTGACATATTTCTGTATTATTTTACGCATAATATTGAACAAAATTGTATTGGGATGATCTTGAAGAAACAAGATTTCTTTGAGATCACATACACTTAAATTTCTTTAAAATTTTTGTCTTTGTCAACCTGAATTGAATGATGAAATCACTTTGAGTAATATTTTGAGTAGTATAATTATTGGACTGCAATTTCGAAATAAAAAAACAGACCTAGAGCCAGGTCCTAATTATTAATAATCATTTAAAAAATGTGTGACTTATTATAACAATATGAAATAAAAGTTCTGAATAAACCATTGTTATTTGTATCAGAAATTGCAAATAAACAAGTTATCTAATTTAAATATATTATAAAAATGTTTATTGCAACCTATGTCACATTTCATTTTTCCAAAAAAATGAACATTATATTGTGTAATTTAGAATGTACATTTTGTTCTGAAGATAGAGGATTTTAAGAATAGGTGTATTTAATGCTCAGTGTGTCTGGGTATTTTTATTTTAGAAAATTTAAACCCGTGAAATATAACACAATGGTTTATAGGATATGCTTGGTAATAGTAAGTTATTGGCAGTTTGCAAGAATAATGTCAAAATGAAATTCTATAAAAACTATTTGAAAATAAAGTATTTTTCTCTGCGCATTATGGAAATTAGAATCATTGACAGAGGTCATGGAGAGAGATATTACATTTGTCAGTCTGTCAATCAGACACTCATGGATATATTTAAAACATGATTTATTTCGAATCAATATTATACAAAGGTTGGTGTTCCCAGAGAACTGAGGCAGCTTTTTCCAGGCCTCAGTTTAACTGAGACTCCAATTTTTGTTTTCCTCATTCAAAACATAAAAAAATGTATTTACTTCTAATTCAGATTAACAGATGTGTTATTTCTGTTGCATGAAGAACTGAATTCTATTCAGGTATTGGGTGGAAACTTTTATTTGAAATAAGGGACTCCTGGGAACCTACTGCTCCAGACCTCTGGCTTTCCCTGGGTACTCCTGTACAAAAGAACTATTAAATATATTCAGTATTCATTTGTATATATATCCAACTTTTATTACAAAATATTTGCAATGTTGCACAAAATTAATCTTTCAGTCCATTTATTTCTCAAAATATGTACCTACAATGGCTTGACCATGAGAAAGCATTTAAGGATACAATTAATTATAACAAACCTGTAATTTTTGTAACTGTCATATGGACAAAATGTTCGTTAAATTGAAAATAAATAAGCAAGCCTTTTGTTTTCTCAGGGCACCTCTACATATATTAATTTATTGGATCACTATTAAGTTATTGAAACCGTTAAATTTCTGGAGATTGAAAAGGTGTAGTGGAAAAGTGGCTTTGTACATGTGTACTATTTACTGTGTGAGCTCCAGTGACTGTCCACTTTTCTTGAACATCTTTGTTGCATTGAATATGCTTTTCAATAAACAATTTAGTGTCTCATTTCATGGAATTACAAACCCCAAATAATGAAAGTGAAGAAATCACCAAAAATAATTTAAAACCATTTTAGGTAGCAATTTGACCTTAACTTCATGCCCTCAGTTTAAGTTAACTTTTTTTTTTCTTTGAAAGAAATTTAACCTACTACCTGCATGCATTTTATAATGTTTTCCATGCAGGTTCTGAACCTCTCAGAAAGCTGAAAAATTTGCATGCAAAAAGAGCTAAACATGAGCTGCAAGTCTCAACACTTTTATGTTAAAAAAAACACAAACACACTGGCTTTCAGTCGGTTTTCCTCAATATCTAATCTATTCCTCCTAAGTTAATAAATTCCATAAATAAGCTTTAAATGAAAATTGTAAATTTTTCTGAGATCTTTCTTTGTAAAGTAGCATATTCAAACACATTAAAACATTGTTTTCCCATAAATTTTGCCTTCTCCCCTCATTAATGATTGCATAACACTTGTGACCACCTCTCCCCATTTACAATACGCAACACTAAATTATATAACAGTAAAACTAATTTGTATTAATTCTATGTGTATTACATTAAAATTTATGACAATTAGTCAGAATTATGATGACTACATTGTCGAACAATTACATTGGGGACAATTTTTGTGTCCAGGAAGGACATTTGAGCAAGAAAATTTCTGGGAAGACAGGTACGCATTGTTGTAGATGACGCATGTGCAAGAATCTACTATGCCAGTTTAATTGGATTTTAGAATATGCTCTAGATCAGATTTGAATATTTTCTTTATAATCGACCTAATTCAATCAATATACCACTGCTGTAAGAATATTTTTGTTTGTTGTAACAATTTATATCTCGTAACTTTTTTATTTACAGATTTTTGAAAATTTTGTTTGTTGATATTTTAATGCATTAGCAGAAGGTTGAACAAAAGGAATTATTGCTGCTCACAACTTTTTAATAAGAAATATCAGCATAAATTATCCCCAACCCCTATGTAATACTGCCACAAACTCCCTCCTCTCTCTTTAGCAATATGTAATTTATGGGCAACACCTTATTAACTTTGAAACATGAGGCATGACTTGGAATTACACAGAAAAAAGAACTTAAGAATAAAATGAATTGGAAATGATGCGTAGGACAGACTCAAGGATGTTAATCCCGGAGACCAAAGCCTTGTCATGAAATTGGATACATGTAGTAAAGGTCAATTATTTTTAAAAGTTTATGGTTATAAACGAGGCCATTGCCATTGCGAGTGTGTGTTGTCATTCACCACATTCTGATGGAAGACAGACTATTCCTTCGTTGTCATAAGGGAAAATGTGTTAACAAGGAGAATATATCAATCTTAAGTTTCATACGTTTGGTGCTAAGATTGTTCATGGGTGCAAGTAGATATCAAGTTGATGTCACAGAACAATGAACATTGTGCTGCGCTCATAACCTGATCTGCAATAGAATCTCCAAGGCAATAAATCACAGATTTTATATGTAAAATATCATCAAATATTATGCATATAATTTGGCACAAATGTGAAATGCACTTGCCATCAGTAATATATTCATACATTCAAACCTCACACACACATATATACACGTATAATGATCATGTTTATGTCTAGATAAGTAGAATCTAGACAGTTCACAATTAATGAATAAGGTAACGGTCTTCTCAATACTTTTCTTCAGTAAAGCACTGATATCAAGCTGACAAATGGTCTTGCCCAATTACATTGAAATGCTTTCAATACTGTGATTTTCAGTGTTATTAGCACAGAAAGGCTAAGTATATTGTTGTCTTAATTTAGTATTGTCCAAAAACATTGGAAGAAATTTACTCAGAGAATAAAACTATAATTAAAAAGAATTGAAATAATAATTTATATTCTCAATATCATGATATGGCGGGAAAAGTAAGGTACAGTTTACATCAACACTGGTCTGTTCAGTGGTAAATAGACACATATTTCATACGTGTCAAAACAAGTGGGTTCTGACAATAAATCAAAAGCAGTTATATCAGTGCTTAATCAGCAATAATTAATATGTCTGATTAATACTGTAGTAATGATTAATATTTATAGATAGGTTATTCACAAGTAGAATCATTATTTTATGAAAAAAAAAAAAAAAAAAAAAAAAAAAAAAAAAAAAAAAAAAAAAAAAATTAGAAGAATTAAAATTAAATCGAAGAAATTAACACAAAGTGTGTACCATGGTAAATGGAACATACGCAAATGAGATTGGAGGCCACTAGTACTCAGAGTTCGTACGAGATATCTGTACATTCCAAGAGTGTTAAACATTTGTCATATAATCACATTTTAACAGTTCAAGTGCACAGTAATCTCTTGCAAACTCTTTTATTCATATAGAGTTTAAAAATGCACAAACTCTCTAAACATCTTCTCAATACACACTTACTGTTTGCAAATACACAATGTATTTTCATACAGAACAACTCTAGTCAACAATCACGAGTATGAAAAATACACTTTTGTGAAACACATGAAATATAATTCAATAGACAAAATATTGTACAAAAGTACTTTACAAAAATATATACCCATTCAAGTTTTGCATATTTGCAACAGAAACGTAGCAGGTACAATAAGGCACAGGATGAAACCTTTTCACAAAAGAATCACATTTGTGAACAATTGAAAAGGCAACTTGATTTCTTGTACAACATATGTCAATGCAACTAGAATGGCTGTAATGTTGTATGGTCCGGGTAGTATATCACAGTTTCATGTTCATCACCTTCTGCTGTCAAGATGTTCCCATTAAGTGTGTGAGCTGTGGGAAAAAAACAATTTTTTAAACTTTTCCATGTTACAGTATTTTCAACATGTAAAAAACATAAAAATCCCCATTTCAAATTATGCAATTGTCTACAGCTTTCAAGATAAAACTTTCTGTTGTGAGATACTTATTCTAAGACTATAGTTCATATAAATGAAAAATGAAAGTTCTTTACGAATTTAGAATCTACCATCTTCTCAAACAATACTTCACTCAACTTTTCTTATATTATTCTTAATACAAAGAGATGTTTTTGAAATTTCTTTTCAAACCAAATAAATACAATAAATATGAAGTGTACTGTCTATCCTGACATTTTTATTAGGCATAACAACTTGACATTCTCTATTTTAGACAAGTTGTTGGTTTGATTCAATCATTGACTCAGTACTCACCAAAATCTTCAGGTATTTCATCATACATTTCACCAGCTGTTAATGTTTTGTCACCTTTTGTAGCCTAAAACATAAAGAAAGATTATTAATTCAGCTTTTATTTTATAATTGTTATATTTGACATTTGAATTGTGACATTTTGATTTGCAGCGTTTTTAAACATTTTGTAAATTTTCCACTATAGTTAGTAAACTTTTTCAATAGAATCTCTTATTAAAAACCATGTTGGCATTATTATACATTTTTACCTCACGATATTTTTGGAGGTATAACTTAAGAGGTTCTACGTAATTATCAAAGCCTAGATTTGTCATGGCAAATAGAATATCTTCTCCATTAATAGTTTTTCTTTTTTCCATATGACAACGATCACTAGCTTCACTTGTTATAAAACTTATGAACTCTGACACACATTCTTGCACACATTCTCTGGCATCTTTGGCAATCTGCAAATTAGCAAAACAAATTAATATTCCATACTGTAATTAGAATGTCATTAGTGGAACACATTGGATATGGGCATGACAACATGATTGAATGTGCAGCATACATTTTGATGTCTAATAATTGGTTAAATGGAGGAATCTTGTGTAAATCTTCATTATCATTTACGAAAAACTACAAACCTTTCCAGATTCAGGAATGGCTTTTTTCATTATTTTTGCCACATTGGCGATTGGAAGAAATCTATCTTGTTCTCTGATAACACAGCTGCTTTTATCTCCAACTCCGTGATTGGAATCATCGGTATTTTCAGCTGCCATTGAACATTCTGCATCATCTAAACAAAAAGTATTTCAATAATTTCATTTAAATTTCGACAACCACCTGCTAGCTCGTGATAGAGTCAAATTACCAGTCGTGGATGTTTCACTTACCATCTATTTCTTCTCCGTGAATGATAAAATTCTGGGAATCCGAAGAAATATACGCTCCCAGACCGCCATTTACACTGCTTTCCATTATCACGACTTATGTTAACAAAAATAAATATCAAAACAGATGTTTTCACCACGGCCTGACCACACCACTGCAGCTGTCCGCGGGAGCCAAACATAGGAACGTCACAGCAGTGTTGCCAGGCGGTCTTCAACATTCCCCACACATTACCCAGATAACGGTGAGAAAACCACCATAACGACAAAAAACACCAAATTGAAATAATTAATTTGTCTTAAAATATATGGAGAGGAATGGAAATTAAAGAGATACGAAAAATATTAGAATATTCTTTACATATTCGAGGACGCAGTGCATTGCACCCGTCTTTTGTCTTGATACCAATCTGCGAACAAATCATGCTGTTCTTTAACATGGCAACTACCAAGTTATGGAAACTTGCATATATTTGTATTCATCTGAAAAGAACCTAATCATAGATTAACATAGATTAGTTTGGTTATCCATGACCTAACCATGGATGAATATGGCATTGTAATATTACGTTATCTTCCCTAACCTAAAGCAACGAAGGAAAATATTACAGTGTACAAAACACTCTGTAAGGGCAATACAAGCCCCACAATCCGCATATGGCATTAACTAGAAATGAGTCGATGTTCTTAACACCACTGTATACGGATTTCCTTATTTCCCCACAATATTTGGAAAAGTCATTCGATTCATGTTGGAACAACACTGAATACTATGAATACCTATTTAGATGACGAAGGTTGGCAGTACGAGCTAAGAATATATATATTTGTTTTGTTGGCAAACCTATAGTGACACATGAAGAACGAAATCCGCTACCCCCAATATGGAAAGATCAATCAAATATTAATTGTATGTGATATTTATATTTTACAGTAAACATGTTTTTGTATAAAAAATTTAAAAAGTTAATATAAAAAATGGAGAACAATAGTGCTTGATTTTTAAAATTTTAAGATTCGGAAGTCGCCCCAATGTACTATTTAATAGAAGTAGTTGAATGATAATACAGGGAATGCGCAGAAGCTAAAAAATTGAATACGTTGAGGTGCTTCACGTTATGCAAAAGTCTTTAAACTTGTGCCTCTAAAGAGCCTCTGAACTTGTGCATTGTTATTGCTTCGCGTTGGGCAAAAACTTCTAATTTTCGCATATTGCGAAGCATCTTAGCGCATACCTTCTAGCATTTATCTTTTGAGCTTCTGCGCACTCGCCGTACGCAGAGACCTTAAGAGGTATACGCAAAGATGCTTCACGCTGTGCAAACACTTCTACTAAACATACCCAGTGGATCAAGAGAATGGCACAGAATTTCTTGTACTAGTTAGTTTTCTAAATCCTTTCGTCTCGTTTAGATTTTCGGCCTTGCTACCTACATTTGCCAGCTGCCATCTATCGCCGCCTAAAGTGCATTTTTTTGAATCTCAATATTTTAATTTATTAATAGTAGAACCGAAACATTACTTTAAGAATATTAAAAAAGAGTAAAACCTCGTCCAAAATGACAATTATCGTTTTTTGGATTAGTTTTTAGGATTGGCGTTTAAGGGTAACTGTAAATGCGAAATTTGAAGCTCTTTTTCACAGACAATTTTTGAGTTTTCGAAAAACTTGATTGCAAGTCATTTGAAGAACTTTCGCTCACAAATGCAATAGTGTTTACAAATCGCTGAAAATGTGCAAATTAACAGCGTGAGACATATTTTAAAAAATACATTTGGGTACTTTTTGAAAAAAATTATACAGCAAAATCAATCTTATGTCATCTAGAAGAGTACAATTAGTATTATATTCCCGAAATGTTTGAACAAAAATTGGAGCGATTTTTGAAAAAAATGGCGATTGAGCGTTTCTGAAAATGCTGAATTTTGAGTTCGTTTTTACAGAAAACTTTTGAGTTTTCGAGAACCTTGATATGACATTATGTAAAGCGCACGTAGTCATAAATGCAATAATGTAAACAAATCGCTGCTAATGTTAATATTAACGGTGAGAGAAAGTCAAAAATATTAATTTTTTATAATTTTTGAAAAAGCGAAAGAATAGAGCAATATGACATTTATGCTATCTTATACAGCACATTTAACATTATCAAAACCAAACCTACCAAAAGAATATGGAAAAAATTGGAGCCTTTTTGAAAAACTCTTGTTTTTGTTATTTTTTTAAAATTACAAATATGGCGCGCAATATTGTGCGAAAATTACTAAAATTTTCAAAATATGTACATGATTTCAATGAAGGAACAAATTATGGACAACAAATTTAATTCGAAAGAAAAACCTATCTTCAATTTTGTAGTTAGAGGAAGACGACAAAAAATTCAAACTTTAAAAATTTTAGAAGTTTTGAAGAATTTTGTGAATTAACTGTGAAAATCAGACTTATGCCACTTTCATAAGTGTATTTTACTCTATTCTTAAAAGATATTTAAAGAAAAAATGTGAACAGTTTTTGAGAAAATGTCCGGGGGGCTGCATGTATAATACTCCCAAATTTTGAAGAAGTTTATTAAAATCTCACCGCCTCGAGTGGACTGGGGTATATCTGTTTTAGAAAAAATTCTACGTATGGTTTAGGCGCTATTGGTGTTCACAAACGGACAGGTCGACAGACAGACGGAGAGAGAGAGAGACACGGAGAGACATACGGGCAGACGGACAGACGTTTTAAATAAAAAATAACAACAAAAAACAACCAACACATTTTTCGTTATCAGGAGACTCCAAAACATCTCTTTCCGTTGAAATCTTGAAATCGATTTTCCGCAGCATTACATAACTTCTTCCATAGAATGTATATAGTCCGTATTTATGTACGTATGCGAGAGAGTAAAAATATTGATGAAAATGTCCAATAGAAATAAAGCATACTACGAAGATATAGTACACTACCGTATTTTCTGACCATTGCGCGTAAGGCGGGAAAAAGAAGAATTTAACGTAGATTAGTTTCTTTACCAAATGAAACTTGCATGCTATGTGTCATACTGATTCATGAAGTTCAAAAAAATAAAAAAAAATGAAATAAAATAAAATAAACGAATAAAATTTATGCATAAAACAAAACAAAAATCGAAGTTCCCTTCCCCTTTTAAAATATTTTTTCTCGACTTGAACGTTTGCAATACCTACTAAATGCGTTTATTTGCTCGCAAAAACTGGAACACCGTATGGGCATTCAGACGGAAGCCCACATGCACAGCACCGCAGGCCTTGCACGAAGACAGCGTGCAACGAGCGAGGCCGCGCGTGGCGCAGTGCACACCCCTGCGGGGCGGGCGGCGCCGCGGCGCGCGAGGGCGGGCCGGGGGCGGAGTCGGCGGCGCCGAGGAGGCCGAAACATGGCACCCCCGCCCCGCCCCCCTCGTCAGACCGGGTCCTCAGCCCCGCCCCCGGTGGGCCCGTCGAACGCGCCACGTGGCGCTACCTCGGGCACGGCCGGAGCGGAAACTGCAAAGACGACTCGGGACGACGCCGCCGTGCGCGTGAGCGGGACGGAGACGGGGAGGACGGACGGTCGGCGAGGAGCCTCTGAAACCCAACCGCCGCGCCGGCGGCGGGCAGAGCGCGGCTGCGAGCTGCGGCTGCTGGCCGCGGCCGCGAGGCCGTTCGCGCTCGCTCGCTCGGCTCGCCCGCCCCTGCGACCACGCCCCCGCCCGCCCCCGCCCACGCCGCCCGGTCGATAAGCCCCAGGGCGCCACCGCGGCGCGTGCGCCCGCCCGCGTCCTCCGCCCCCTCGCGCCTTTGTCATGCGCGGCGGTTGGCGACGGCGGCGGCCGTGGGAGGAGGCCGGTGCGGGGCGCGCGCCCTGGGTAGGCATCTAGTGGAGCGACCTGCCAATCAGCTATTTTCGTGGGGCGGCAGGCCGCGCAGCCGGCCGCCAGCAGCGCACGTATCCGCTCGCCGTCCCGCCCATAATCTTGAGGCATGCCCGCGCTGCAATCCGCGCGATGGGCCCGCCGGCCAGTGGTTCCCACGAAACACCATCGCGACACGAACACTCTCTCGGCCGCGTAACGGAAGGGTTGAGAAGAAAGTGCTGAGGCGCAAAACGGAGAGCCCGATGCCGATGACATCGATCGCGGAAGGATACGGCGCCGGCATGTGCTCGGCGAGGCGTCGTGCAGTGCGTTTCGGCCATGAGGTGAAGCGGTATTATGTGTGCGCGTAAAAGTTTGCAAAGCGGTGTTTTCGGCGGCGGAGCGTCCGAAGGATGAGCTCGGCGGCCTCTGACCAGAACCCGGACTTCGTTGTGCCTCATAGCAACCCGCAGGTGAGTGGACCCGCCCCGCGCGGGCGGCCGGCTCCGCTCGAGGGGCGGGGTAGCAAAGTGGGTGTCGACGACGGGCTGCGCGCGCGCGCGGCGACGGAGCCAGGGCTGGCCAAGGCCCCCTCCCCTCACGCCGCCGCCTCCTCCCCCTCCGCAGGACGCGCAGCCGTCCCCGCTCGCGCTGCTCGCGGCGACTTGCAGCCGCATCGGCAGCGGCGCGCAGCCCG